TATATATATATATATTATTAAAGCTGTATATAATGTCATAATGATGACTAGTACTGACCATGTTACAAAGCTAACAAAAGCTCAAGAGATTGAACCATGGAACTCCTCACTAGAACAGCATTGCAATCAGCAACTTAACATTGCGTTTGTTACTTCAAGTTTAAGGCCATTCACGTGTCATTCTATCACAACTTTGTAACAAATATTAATAAAAAGCCGTCTACAGAAGTTACGATAAAATAAACTTTATATATTGTCACTTGTGTAAAAATATTTACTTTTATTTTTTATTAGTCAGTGTAATAATTAGGGTTGTCTAAGTTCCATGAGTTGATCTGATGAGCCTTGTATAGTCAATCTAATAAGCTAGGCAGTCAAAAATTTAGAAGCAATCACTTTATTACCAGTATAAAATTGAGGTGTTTTTGAAATAGTGACTTTTCTTTTTCTTCTTCTTACCAGCAAAATCAGTTTCTTTCCATTTATCTAATTTATATAGATTTTTTAGATATAAAAAAAAACCTTAAAAAAGATACTCAAATTAAATACATAAATATTTTTTAACTCTTTTTTACGAATTGATTCATTGATCCACCAATTTTTACCTTTAGACAAAACAGACCAATGTGTTTAACTTGTTTTTATTTGGTGGACTAGCTTAACTAAATTTGTTTTTTGTGGACTAATGAGTTGGACTTAAATAAGTTGAACTAACACATTTAGTTATCCATAAAAAAAATTCTCTCCATTTCACCTATTATTGAGCTATTGAGAAAATAAATATTACTCTCCATAAAGTATATATTATCTCTATTTTATTTATTTTCCTATAAAGTTTTTAAAAAAATGGAAGAAATTAATTGAGAAGATCTTTTCTCGGAAAAACCTTATAGCTTAAGTACTATGTTAAATTTTGAATTCTATTCTATATGAGACCGCTAACATAGAATGTGTTGATTGTTAATGAATTATAATTTTGATATTTCAATTTCTTATTGATTTTATGATATATATATATATCTATTTTTTTTATTCTATTTTTTCATATGTCTCTTTTTCTTTTTTTATCATGTTACTTGCCGTATTTATATTTTTATATTTAAATTTTTTTGCATCCGTACACCATGAAATAGGTAGTAATTTTGTATTTCCTTTTTCTTTCAAACAAATTCCTTTCACAGTTGATTGCTTTAGCTGGCAGTGAGAGCAAAGGCAATCCGATGTTATTGTAATTCTGTTAAGCACACAAACCAAATGAAAAGGTTACGCGCATGGTTAGGTTTCCATTTGTGAGACCTTGAACATAGCGATCGAAGGAAACTTTTTGTTACTTTATCGAGACATGAGAGACAAAACATAACATAACATAACATAACATGAGCTTTGTGAATTTTAGCCACAATTCGGTATTTTCGTTCAAAATTGGAATCTGACTCAGACAGTATAGTTGAAAGCAGGATTATGTCACACGCTCGCACCTCACACTAACTGACAAACTCGGGAACTTCTTAAAAAACAATGGTTGAGTCTATTATTTAGAGTCGTAAATAATCATAATATTCATTCATTTGTATAATATTTTTTCTTGTTTACTTTATTTTCTACGTTATATCACATTATATATTGATCTCACTATTTTTCCCTTCCAAATCTCTTATTATGAGTATATATATATGTATAATTTTTTTATAATCACTTATAGAAAAATATAAAATTTAAATAAAATAATTTTTCTATATAAGTTATATAAATTAAAATATACTTTATAAAGAACCATACCAGAGACTTTTTATCATTTAGTTTATGTATAAATTAATTATAATTTTTAATAAGATTCTTTTATTTTTATTCTTATTTCTTTTTCTTAAAAGTATTTTATAAGAAAAAATTGTTTAAACAGAGCATAAGTTTATACTTGATGAGTATAGAATAACTTTTTCGAGTTATAAAAGCACGATAATATACCACTTATTGAACTGTAAAGATTTTAAAAAGAAAAAGATAAAAAAGATAGGAGAAAAGTATAAAAAGAGAGATCCGCGTTTTTGACACTACTTTGAGAAAGACGATTTCCCTTATTTTCGCTGTTTTCATCTAAATTAAATTTATATTAAATAGCAAAGTAAGTTATTTTTGAAATTTTTGAAATTTATGATTGTTCTATAATTTTTTTTTAAAAAAATATTATATGAAAACTGATTTTTGTGTATTTAAATTATGTTAAGCATCTCAAACTTATTTTTCAGTCAATTTAACCAAACAAACTTTATAATGAATTGTATATATAATAAATTATCAAAATAATCTAGCTTTTAAGATACAGTTTACCTTAAAACGATCCACGTTTTCAAATGGCCAAAATTTGCATCACTCCCACATGACAAGGCCACACACACAACACCTCGCTGTTGATAGATTCTTTCCTTACTTTGAATTTTTTTGTTTTTTAAATCTTATCTAATAATCAGGGGTCGTATAAATCTGTCATCACATAATTTGATTAAAGAATATTTTGGAATGTATATATATAGAGAATAAGAAATTGTAATGCATATCTATTATCTTCACGCAACATTGTAAAAAAAATGACAAAAAATTTACTTTTTACTTAATAGTTTTAATTTACAGACAAGTTAAATAAAAGCAAGACCCCCTTGTCAAACACTCAATAAGAGACGTATCTAATCTATTTCAAACCATTCATTTACACATTAATCAAGTTTTGTTCTTAACATATATATTAAGTATTTTTTTTTCTGTCATACGGATATTTCTAACTTATGGAGTTATATACTCACTCACTATATTGTGACTGCAGTCTAACATAATATTTTTTTTCTCGCCCACATTAATTAAGTTCAAGATAGTAAAATATCTATTATTTATATTTATATATATATATATAATCTATTTTACATAGATTAAAAAATTTAATTACATATATTAATTTTTATGATTTTATGTAAAATATATACTACATTTTTTAAAATATCTTTAACCATACTTATAATAAATAGTACCTCATTTATTGTCTTATGAGTATTTTTTTGATTAAAATCATTAATGAAATTGACTTATTTTTTAGTAAAAAAAAACATTTTTACTTATATATACTAATATAGGTTGAGGAAGTATTATAATTAGGTGTATATTGAAATATCAGAATATTAATTTTATAGTTAATGTTATTTAATAATTAATAAATGCGAATTGAAAATCCAATATTTGAGTGAACCATATAAAGAGAGATTGAAATTTGAAGAGATGAAGCCCATCTTGGAGCAGAGAAAAGGAAGCATCTTAATAATAAAATTGAAGTAGAGTAAAGGAGGGTAGTGTATGGGGAACATGAGTTGTGGTTCTTGCATCTCTAATGATGTTAGTGTGGGGAATATTTTGAAGAAGAAAGGAAAAGGCAGAAAAACAGCGATGTTGTTGTACAGGAGTGGAAACAGGCGAGAGATCAAGCTACCCGCCAAATGTGGGGAGCTCATGATCCAAGAATTAGGCCACGTCATCAGTCCGGTGGACGAAATCCGCAGAACAGGTCGAGTTTCGGCTTTACTCGCCGATGAAGAGCTTGTAGCGGGGAAGGTTTACCTGCTATTGCCGGTGAATAGGGTTCGTTGCAAGGCTTCAAAGATGGAGATGGGCATTGCGGAGAAACATAGTGTTAGTGCCCAAACAAAGAAGACAAAGGGAAATCAAATGCCCAAGGTTTCGCCGTCACTCATTTCGAGGTCAAGTCAAAGGCTCGGACAAAACGAGGTTACCGTTTTCCCAATTAAAAAGGTCAACCAATTCCAAACACGCTGGAATCCCCTTCTGGATCCTATCTCCGAATCCCCCTCACCTCTCCACCAATTTGGCCCACAATTTTGATCTTCATTTTCTCTCTGCGTCTTCAATTTTATTTTTTCATAATATTTAACTTTGCACTAACATGTATATATGAAGGTTTTCAAAATGATTATCACATGGTCATTTAATCATAATTCAATTGATAAGTTTGTTGATTTTTATAATTATTATTTTAAAAATTATATCTATTATATATTTTATTAATTGATAGCATGATTTTTTTTATATTGATAGTGCCTGAAAATTAACCTCGTGTATATTTATTTTAATAAAAAAAATTACTAGTTTTTGTAAATGAATGTATTGGTATTAAAAAAATTTAATAAATTAATTGTTTTTTTCATTCCTATTTAATTTTGTGCGTTCAGTTTACAGAGAAAGTAAAATAATTCGCAGTACCGAACAAATAAAAAATCTTTATAATTTTTGAATTATTAGTGAAATGATATTAGCAGAACTGAAGTGATTGTGGGCATGTGACATGTCTTATGCAGTTATGAGCGTCACTTTGCAATGTTTGTCCTCATTCTTGAATGTTGAGTTGCTTCTATTGTTAGGAAGATTTGCAAGCCTAACGAATTGGATAATCTGCCACCACTCTTCTTTTTTATTGGGGAAAAGTGGAAAACAAAAACAATAACAAAGGAAAATTCCTATTTTATGATCTTTCCATCACATAATTCAGTGAAATAGCAATATTACAGTAAAATCACAAAAATCATTTATGTTACTTTTTGATTCATATCCAGACGTCAATTGATAATAATCATAACTGACAAGATATTTCTAGTAGAATTCAATGAGTACGGGTCCTCTCCTATATGCAAATTGCATAGAGATTCCTCATTGAATGATTAGTTTGGTGAAAATTGTTCGTACTTGAAAATCTTTGGAGTTGTAGTTAATAGTTATGGGGATCTACTGCGTATATAAAAAACTATATGTATTTTCATGGTTGAGTGTGTGCATGCTGTTAAGATTCTATAGACAAATTTATTTATTTATTTCATTATTTGCTATACGTTGCCATCAATTAATAATAGTATATATTTTCCTGTTATGATGGAGAAGATATAGTAAATTAAAACATGTAAAAACTGTGCTGATTTTTGTTTTGAAAATAGATTGTAGAAAACAAGTTTTTGAAAATAATTAAATTCAAGAATTTAGTTGTAATGCCTTTTCAGTATTTTTTTATATTATCAGCTAATCAATAAATATATTTTGATTTTTTAAAAATAATTATTATAAAAAGTTAAAAACTTAATTACGACCACAAAAATCTATTTATATTAATGAAAATTCAAAACGTGTATTCGAACATTTTTCGGTACCAATATATCATTTTTTGGTAGTTGAAGATGTAAAAAAAAAATCAAAAGAAAAGAAAATCGACAAGCAACAAGACAACCATAAACTAAAATCTCAAAAAACCGGTCTCCAGCAACATCCGCTCAAAGCAATGGAACATCCAGAGGAGGCTCCAATATATCATCATTGGTCTCAATTTGAGACAAGCGGATGAAATTAGTCATTAATATAAATTGTGGATATTTTGCACATATCGTAGTAATAGAAAAAATATTTTTTATATTCACTAGAAAAAGAAAATATATTTGTGTTATTATTGTCTAAAACTATTATAGAAAACATGGAGTTTGTTGTAACTGTACAGAGTAAAAGAACAAACAAGCAAGAATAGAGAACCCAGAAACAAAAACCAATTAAAAAGAAAAACAGAAAAATGGGAAAGGAAGAATCACACCAAGAGATTAACGTGGTTCACCCTTGATCGAAATTGGGCTACATCCACGGGGCAGCAGATCAGTCTTTATTTCAATAGTATCAAGTTAAGTGTATATTACAAATGCAAGGCCTCCTTATATATAAGGGACCCAGACCCGAAAGAGATATCTAACAGACCAAAAGATAACAAGTATTATAAGAAAGTAGGATAGGTTCAAAAAAGCAATCTTTTCAACAAATCTCCACCTTGCGTTTGAACCTTTTTTGAAACAGATATCCTCATGATCTTAGAAATAAACTCTGTTGCCACCTGCCACAAAAAAAGGCTATTTCCAGCAGTCAACATTAAGCAAGTCCAGGCAGTGCATAAACTTGCTTTTAGGGACAGGCTTTGTAAACGTGTCAGCAGGATTATGTTTTGAATCAATCTTTTGAACCTTAATCCTTTTCTCAGTTTGAATGAAATGGTACCGCACATCAATGTGTTTAGTCCTTTCATGATGAACCTGGTCCTTTGCTAGACATATAGCACTTAAGCTATCACAGAAAATCAGAGCACACACTAGTGCAAAATAGAGCTATTACGTCACCCATTTTACGTCGGAAATACAAATACTCGACGTAATAAAAACGCGGTGGCATGTATCGTAATTTTTATGACTTTTTCACGTCGGACCTTTAAAGGACCGACGTAAATTTTAACATCTACGTCGGTTATACAATGTGTCCGACGTAGATGTTAAAATTTACGTCGGACCCTTATAGGGCCGACGTAAATAAGCCGCATCTCTCCTTTAAAACAAGCTTTACGTACTAGCTGGAGATTTCAAAAATTCTTTCTCCCGCGCGTTGTGTAAATCCCTCCGCCTCCTACTCCTTCGGTCCTTCCTTCCTTATAATTTTTCTATCATTCAGTCTCCGTTCATACGACAAAAACAAGCAGTTTGCGTTCATACGACTAAATGTGTATTTTGAACTTATTATGTGTGTTTCTTTATATATTTTGAGTAGGAACAACCAGTGGCTGAAGCCAAGCCTGAGGAGAACAGAGAAGAGAAGCGATTCTGGGAAGAAAAGCGATTTCTGGGAGGAAAACCCAGAAGAAAAGCGATTTCTGGGAAGCAGAACGGGCCGTTCTGCTTGGAGAACGGCCCGTTCTCCAAGCAGTACGGGCCGTTCTCCAAGCAGAATGCCCCGTTCTGCAAGGAGAACGGGCCGTTCTCCAAGCAGTACGGGCCGTTTTGCTGCATTCGTTTTTCTTTTTTTTTTTATAAAATTTTTACGATTTTTTACGTCGGACCTGGGTATGTCCGACGTAAATTTACGTCGGTGTTTGACCCCCGACGTAAATTTTACGTCTCCTGTAATGACGTCTGATGCTTTCCCGACGTAAATGGCTTTAAATACCCGACGTAAAAAGGGTCTTTTGTACTAGTGACACTCTTGAATAATGCCTAAATCAGTTACTAGTCCTTTCAGCCATATCCCCTCTTTTGCAGCTTCTGTCAAAGCCATATACTCTGCTTCTGTTGTAGATAGAGCAACAGAAGGTTGTAATGTGGCTTTCCAACTCACCAAACAGTTTCCAAGAGTGAATGCATAACCTGTGATTGATTTCCTTCCATCCAAATCAGCAGCATAATCTGCATCTGAGTATCCAGCCAGGTGACAATTTGTGCAGGTTCCATAAATGAGTCCAATGTCAAGTGTTCCTCTCAAGTACCGGAATATCCTCTTGACAACTTTCCAATGTTCTTTCTGTGGTTGATTCAGATACCTTCTCACAACATTGACTGCATAAGCAAGATCAAGTCTTGTGCATACCATGGCATACATTAGACTCCCTATAGAACTTGCATAAGGTACTCGTGACATATAATCCAAGTCAGTTTGAGATTGAGTCTGAAAAATAGCTGATAATCTCTCTTTGGTTGACAAAGGAGTGCTTAAGGGTTTTGCATTGTTCATTCCAAAACGAAGCAAGATTTTTTGTATGTATTCCTTTTGTGACAAGAAAACCTTCTTTTGAGTCCAATAACGGTAGATTTCCGTCCCTAGGATCTTCTTGGCAGCTCCTAAGTCCTTCATATCAAATTCTCCATTTAGGAAAGTCTTCAGATTTTGTATAGCATTTGTGTCTCGGGCAGCTATCAGCATATCATCTACATAGAGTAGAAGATATATCATAGACCCATCCTCCTCCTTGTTGTGATAAACGCAGCAGTCATAGGGACTCCTCTTGAACCCTTTGTTGATCATAAAGTTGTCAAACCTTTTGTATCATTGTCTAGGTGACTGCTTTAACCCATATAGAGACCTTTGCAGCTGACAAACATAGTCCTCTTTTCCTTGACTCACAAAACCCTCTGGCTGTTTCATTAATATATCTTCTTCTAGCTTTCCATGTAAGAAAGTTGTCTTCACATCTAATTGCTCAAGTTCTAGGTCTTAACAAGTTACAAGGGCCAACAAAACTCTTATGGAGGTATGTCTCACAACAGGTGAGAAAATTTCGTTGTAGTCCACACCTTCCTTTTGGCTGAACCCTTTAGCAACTAAACGTGCTTTGTACCTTACTGTTTCAATACCGGGAATTCCATATTTCCTTTTGAATATCCATTTGCATCCAACAACATGTCTTCCCTTAGGTGGCTTGATAAGCTTCCAGGTTTGATTCTTCTGAAGTGATTCCATTTCCTCACCCATGGCAAGGATCCATTTCTCTGAATCTTCATGATTTAGAGCTTCCTTGTAGGTGGTAGGCTCGGGTGAGTCCACTTCTTTTGCTACATGTAAAGCATAGACAACCATGTCTTCAAAACCATATCTCATAGGGGGTTTGTATTGCCTTCGAGGTCTTTGACTAGGCTCGATTTCAGATTGAGTCCTTAAAGTTGCCTCTTGCTTATCAACATCATTATCTTTGCTTTGTTCTTCTTGAGAATTTTCGAATGCTTCATCTTCTAACTCCTTGTCCTGTAACAAAAAACTCCAATCTCGGGTGAAACATGTGGGATTCATCAAAAATAACATCTCTACTAAGAATAATCTTCTTTTCAGAAGGTGACTAGATTCTATATCCTTTCACTCCATCTCCATAACCCATGAACAAACCTTTCCTAGATCTAGGTTCAAGCTTCCCTTCATTTACATGATAGTATGCATGACAACCAAAAATTCTAAGAATTGAATAGTTTGCAGGTTTAGTGGACCATACCTCAGTAGGTGTCTTGCAACCTATAGTAGTGGAGGGTGATCTATTAACCAGGTAGCATGCTGTGTTCATAGCCTTAGCCCAAAAAATTTTGGTCAAGCCAGCATTGGACAGCAAACATCTTGCTTTTTCCAGCAACGTTCTGTTCATGCGTTCAACTACTCCATTCTGCTAAGGAGTGTTCCTGACCGTATATTGCCTTACAATCCCTTCTTTCTTGCAATAGTCATTAAACTTAGCAGAACAAAACTCCAAACCGTTATCAGTTCTGAGCCTTTTTATCCTTTTACCAGTTTGATTTTCAACCAAAATTTTCCATTCTTTGAAGTATTTGAATGCTTGGTTTTTGTGCTTCATAATGAATATCCAAGTCATTCTAGAATAGTCATCTATGATAGAGAGAAAATATCTACCTCCTCCAAGTGAAGGTACTCGAGAGGGCCCCCAACAATCCGAGTGAACATAATCCAAGGTGGACTTGGTGGTGTGTTGAGCCTTTGGAAATTTAATCCTGTGGTGTTTCCCAAAAACACAGTGTTCACAAAACTTGAGTTCTTTTACTGTATGATCTCCCAACAGCTTCTATTTGCTTAGCACCATCATTCCTCTCTCACTCATGTGACCAAGGCGCATATGCCAAAGATGTGTCAAATCTGGTGTATGTTTATCAGCCACAGATACTGATTCTGAGATTAAATTGGTTGATCCTTGAAGCATGTATAGGTTTCCTTTCTTGATACCTCGTATAACAACAGTTGAGCCCTTGCTGATTTCCATCACTCCACCTTCAACATTGCATTTTGAAACCTTTTGTATCCAGAACTCCAACTGAAATTAGATTCTTCTTCAAATCTGGTACATGTCTGACTTCAGTAAGAGTTCTTATCACACCATCATGCATCTCGATCTGAATTGTTTCAATACCAATTATTTTGCATGCCATATCATTTCCCATGAAAACATCACCACTAGATTTCTTCTCATACGTTAAGAACCAACTCCTATTAGGACACATATGATAAGAACAACCCGAGTCAAGTACCCACTGTTCTGCAGAATGTTGATGATTGTCAACAATGGACAGTACGAGCTCATTTTCAAATGAGGAGTCTTCTTGGGTAGCAGCAGCAACCGATTTCTGATTTCTTTTCTTTGGGCAATCTTTCTTCCAATGACCCGGTTCTTTGCAGTAGTTGCAGATGTCTCTTGGATTGAATTTAATTTTCTTCTTCCCTTGTTCTTTCTTCTTCTTACCATTCTTGGTAGAATTAAAAGCAAGTAGTCCTGCTCCATTTACCCCCTCAGAGTTTGCAGATGCCTTGAACCGGAGCTCCCTCGAGTGCATACTTGATTTTACCTCTTCCATCGTGATGCATTCCTTCCCGACACTAAGAGAATTTACAAAGCTTTCATATGAGGGTGGAAGTGAGGCTAACAGAATCATTGCTGCATCCTCATCTTCAATCTTGACATCTATGTCTCTCAACTCCATCAAGATTGAATTCAGTTCATCCAGATGATCTTGTAGAGGTGTGTCTTCTTTCATGTGAAGACCAAACAGTCTTCGTTTTAACAACAACTTGTTACAGATTGACTTTGTCATGTAAAGCTTTTCTAGCTTTAACCATAGTCCACTAGCCGTTTCTTGATCAACTACCTCATAAAGAACTTCATCTGATAAGGACAGTAAAATCAATGAGTGAGCTTTCTCTTCTTGTTCTACAAGATCCTCATTTTTCACAGAAGATGGTCTCTCCTATGATTTAGCAACGTTCTCCTTCTTCGCGGAAACAGAAACTAGAGGACCCCAAACTCTTTGTTCCTTCAGTAGAGCTCGCATCTTAATGCGCCAGAGATTGAAACTGTTCTTTCCATTAAACTTCTCGATCCTGATGGTGTTTGACATCTTTCTTGAATGTTCTTTCACAGATGCAGCAGATCAGTCTTTATTTCAATAGTATCAAGTTAAGTGTATATTACAAATGCAAGGCCTCCTTATATATAAGGGACCCAGACCCGAAAGAGATATCTGACAGACCAAAAGATAACAAGTATTATAAGAAAGTAGGATAGGTTAAAAAAAGCAATCTTTTCAACAGAATTGATTCCTTTAATTTTGTGCTTAATTTCCTTAGAATGAAATAGCTAGCTAGCTAGCTGGCCCTTAATTTCAATATTGCAATCAGAATTTGCTAACTAAATCAAACCTCGTAATTTTATAGTATTTTATTTTTAAATGGCAAGCAATATAAGGAAACTACATTTTGAGAGTTGAACGAAGTTTATGAGTTACCATTAGGATTTTTAAAAAGTAATTTTTAGGAAATGTATAAAAGGTGATACATTTAAAGAAAGCTTGTGAATTTTTTTTTTGCTGAAAAAAGTTTATGAATTATATAAATCACTTTTTATTTTAAAAAAGGTAATATAATTTTAATTTTTTTAGAAATATACTTTAAAAAAATCTCAAAATAATATTAAAAATATTATTTTTCTTTTGAAAATTTAAGCAAACAAGCAAAATGTTCTTATTTTTCTAAATAAAAGAAATTTTAATAGAGAAGGGCGGGTACAAATACGCTCTATATATCCTACAAATGATTTTGTTATCCTCTTTCGTTCTTAAATGATCATTTTTGGCACTATTTACTCTATTCGGTTCGTAACAAGTGTCATTTTTAAAGAAGAAAAAAAAATCTTAAAATAAGTGTTGTATTAATTTTTTTAAAATAATATTAATTATCTCTTTTTTTTATTTATATCCTTTTATAATATTATTTAGAAAGTGATTAATATGTTATAATATTTTTAAACAAAAAAAAATTATTATTAAAATATTAATTTTGTATAATAATTAAATTTTTTAATCTATTTATTAGTTTTTTTTATACCTATGTAAAATAACTATATTATGGAATGAAGAGACTAGGGAGCAACAATTTTCTTTTACGGATGAAAATAAGAGCAAGTAATTTTGCAAATAAAAAAATAAAAAAATATTTTTTAAAAAAATTTCTTTTTGTTTGAATAACGAAACCTAAATACAAAATTATCTTAACACCCTCTTAAGAAAGTCGATTGAGTCTAACTCAACTTCACAAAATTGTCTTTTATTTCTTGTTAAAGACTCAACATTTGATATCATATTAAGAAAATGAATAATAATTAAATTCAATCTTACAAAATTAGCTAATTAGATAAAAATTATTCTACACACACACACACACACACACATATATATATATATATATAGATATATTTATATAGTTGATGTGAGATCCTTAATATACTAACTCACGTCGAGGACTGAACATTTGATGCATTTTAAAAAAATGAGTTATAAGTTTAATTCAAATTTACAAAATTAACTAGTAAAATGAGAATTATTATTCAATTATATACACTATTTATTTATCATATCTCTAATTGATGTGGGACTATCACATCAAGAATTAAACATTTTAAGTATGAAATTTGTAAAATTAAACATTTATAAGTAATTCGATAAATATCGAATAATGAGTGATTTAATATGTCCAACAACAACATAATCGACTAAGATAAACTCTAAATAAAAATATGGATTTGAATTTATAATTCATCCTTATTAAATTAATTTGTATTATGAGAATTCTCACTTATGTATATTATTATAATCAAAATCACCCATAAATGTTCAATATATGACATGTCTTGTTATATCTTATTATTGTCGATTATTACATCATAAATCTTAAAACAAAACCTTACCAATGAATTTTGCATACATCTTACTATCATCCATTATTACATCATAAATCTTAATAAAACTTTTCCAATGAATTTTGCATAGAATTCGCGTGCTACCTCTCATGAAGTCGATATGAGCATATTAATTCGTCATATTGACATCGTTCATATTATGGTACATCAAATTAATAATGATACCCCACAACGTAGGGTATCCTAGCTTGAACGCATGTACTTTTTGTTTCTTTCTCCAATTTCTAATAATACTCTGCATAAAATAAAATTTTAAAAACTTTTTATAATTTACTTTTTATCTTTATCCATTTCATCATCATGGACATTTTTTCCTTTTCTCGTTTTACCTCTTAAATTGTTAAAAGGGTATATAAGAGTGTTGAATTTTAGATACTTAAACAGTTCAAACACCGAATTATAGGGACTTGCCATTTATCTTTATCTTCCACTTATCACCTCATATCACCAATCAAATTGATCACTTTTATTTTTTATTTTTCTCTTCCTTTTCTGTTTTGATATGATCTCTACATCTAATGAAGTGTCCACAAAACCTTTTTGAAAATAATATGCGATGAAAGTGTATTTTTAAAATTATTTATATATTACTAATACTCAAAAGAAAAGGTCACGAGGTAAAAATTAAACGACCGACAAGCAACCCAAATTGGCTTTAATCAAATTGGACCGTCATTAGAAATTGCGCTCGGGAATTAATACAAGGGAAAAGACAGGTAAGCCCAATAAAACTATACTGCGTCACATACAATAGAATCAAATAAATTAACAAATTGAAATTGCAGTTGAACGGTTCCTTGAATATACATTGGAGTTAGGTAAATAGACTAGGCAAAATTAAGAAGAATCGAATGGGTCACCACCAAGGGGCAAGGGCCATCCCACAATCTAATATACATCAAACTCTAGATGATCCTATTTTTTTTAATGATATAAACTAATAAACGTGGGAGACAGGCGAATTCCAAGTCAAAAAAATGTGAAGTAATAATGCACTTGTAACGTAACACAAAGACCCAGCCAAATGAAACTACCAAGTCCACCATTATATCCTTCACACGTTGGAGCGGTTTAACAAATTAAACATCATCGTACACTGTCCCAACCTCCATATAAAGTCATTTCACATTCTCCGTCGTGGGAATGGCAACTGATCCACAAATAAAACCTTGAACATACAAACACACCCTCTCATGGGAAACCAAATAGCTAGAGACGCCACGGGGAGAATCGTTCACTGGGATGGCTCGGTTCAAGAATTTGACGAGCCACATGCACTAACGGCGGCGGA